TTTTTTTTTTTTTTTTTCGAAGTGTGGGCGCGTAAAGAACACAAGGCTCTCGACAAGGCTCAACGAGAAACAGTCCAGATTGCTCTGATCAAGCAATGAGCGGTTAGAGAGACACCGAGCGCGCGACTTTCTTCCATTAGACCAACATTGGCACTGCCATATCGATTGCCATTGGAACGACTTCCTAGTCTAAAGCCATCACATATTTGACGATCAGTCCAAGATGTAGCCGAGCTGAGAGCTGCGAGTCAGTTGGAGGGGTCTAGGCATAAGTTCTAAAGTTTCTTAGAGCCAGTCGATGGGTCATGGGAATAAGGATCGTAATACGACCGGATCATGCCCTTACGATTGCTCGCGACAAGCCCAATAAAAGGAATGCATAGTTACACATGATGGCGCAATGTGCTTGAAAATTGTGGGCATTATAGGGCGCGAAAGCAGAATCACAAATTGGAAGAAGTGAGTCAATAAGAGAAATCCAGCTTCCTTTGCCACCGGTAAAGGAAGCCAAGTACCCAGTCAACACATACATAGAGCACGAATATACACGAGCAGAGCCAAAATCACGCAAAATACGTGATATTGCTGTCTAGATGACCCTGCAGTGCGACTAACCTTCTTGGATGTGGGGAATAAACGGCATGACAAACAGCATCATCGTATGACCTTGGTTCATTTGTAGATACCAATGAGTAATCGAGTAAACGTTGGGTTCCCTAGCCGCCTTGAGTGCTGCCGATATAGCGCGTAACTTAAGCTAATGTCGAATCATTGAAGGGAGAGACGTTATTTCGGGCTATTGGGAGTGAATCTGACATGGGTACCTCGCATGAGGCCCTAAGACGGTTGGTTCGGAGGCCTCAAAAATATCCAAAGCGACGTGCGAAGGATTTCACACAGGAAGAAAACCACGCAGATAATTTCCAATGCATATAAGCCATGGAGGCTCAGTTTTAGTTAAGGATTAAGCGCCATTCACGGACTGGACTCACCAGTGATATACAGCCCCCCAAGGAAGGCTGATAGGGCCCATGCGCAAACCCTCCGTATTCCCTTAGCACAGCGTCAATGACTCAACATCTACCCAGAACCATTGAAGTGCTGAACGGAGAAAGCCTTGCCTAAGCGCCCACTAATTTTAGTGCCTTGTCCATTGCTTCCTTCACCCATCTGGGGTCGACTGCCCTGCAGTTCAGCCGTTCGCGTCTACTAGTCCATTTTCACTCAACTAATGGTGATGTTGCTTCCCCAGGGAGACCCACAAAAAGAAAAGACGGCGTTCTTTCCAACATGCGTAACGGATAGCCACGGGCTTGTAAGTGGCCGAGGACGGAAAGATAGCAAGGAGCTGGCGCTACTTAGGGTACCGGAACCTCGGGACAATTCTCCTACAGTGATTGGATACCGGTCTAATGGGCTCTTACTTCGAGTACAATCCTAATATCTATCCGCGTCTCAGAAGCCGACGAGTTCACTTCCAGAATAGAATGTGGATGACAATAACGGCGCGTAAGCTACGGAGTATATGGGATAGAACTAATAATCAAAAGTTGTTGTACACGTTTTGGAACCCACAACATGGACGAATGTCCAAGACCACATCCAATTGGGTGCTGGTGACAGTTTGGTAGACAGCCGCACTGCTCTAAAATTGGCCTGTTTTGCATAGCCTTAATGATGCAACAGGTAGGTAGGTACAAATTGAGTGCCTCCTTGTTTTCACATATAAATGCACCTTCTGTCTACAAAGTTTGGAAAGTCCACACCCACATCCATATCGACAAGGCAAGTATCTGTTATTCAATCGGTGCCTCCTGCTAGGTTTGAGAGCGGTACCGTCCATTGAGAATACTATCATCCGTTATCCCACATTACCTACAATGGCTTTGAGAATGGGCTGGACTAGTATGTATTTCTAGATGTTTCTTTTTTTCCTTTGTCGATGATTACTGACTTGCTTTGGCAGAAAACGTTAACAGGCAGGCCTGTTTATACTTCCTCTTTGTACCAACATTCTTGCTCTACAGTGTGTACAAACTATCATCTTTACTTGAGATTGGACTAACCGCGAGCTAGCCTTGGCCCTGGCAGGTTGTCTTTCCACGTCCCCTGGGATCCCAAACATCTTCCTCGTCCAGATCACTGCACAGGACTCTGGCGGTAAGCTTAAAGTTGGCTACTTTGGTAGGTCCATTTTCTCCATGCTCCACAGTTAATGTAAGCTCCTAGAAATAACCTATGCCATTAGGAATGTGTAGTGTTTTCATGAACTCTACGGATTCGCAGTTGTGCTCCACCACCTGTGGTATCTCGACAGAAGACCTACTCCAGAGGCTCTCCCCTCAGGATGGAAGGAGCGCCGTGACTGATAACCTCGTCGAGTTTGGTCTTACTCTCGCTTCCAAGATTCTGCTTCCAATTCTTGCAGGGGGAGGGGTTGCTTTCACACTGGGTATAGTCCTTTTCTTATTTTTCCAAATAAGAGTGAAAAACCCTTCCGTCCAAGGAGGAGCACTGCAGCTGCTTGAGTCGACCTCGCTTGCTTTTGTGGGACTATCGTGCGTTCTCTGCTTTGGCGCGGCAACCTCCATTACGATGGCCGTGGGCGCTATGCGATACTGCGATAACAAAGCAGATGCGCCAACAGACGAAATCGAAGCCGGCAAGCCACTTCAGATAATACAATGGATGACATTTGCCTTTTCCGTCCTTATAGGGGTTGGCTTAAGGGATATCATGAAATCATCTTCCTCGACTCAGAAGGCTCCAACCCAAGCGGCAAAGCAGCCTAGACAGCCACTAGCGACTGCTATTGATTTCTGAAGAATCGGTTGAGGTGTTTGTCGGATATGGTGCGGACAAGATACTGGTAGTGTGCATTTGTCTCTTTACAACCCACTATCAGGTCGAAGCATTTCTCTTCCTGCTACATACTAGAGGGTTATACGCACAACCTAAATTCGTTGCACTGCTCGTTAGTATGTTATAGTTCGTTTTCTCGGATCAAATGAATATCTTGGCGCCTGGATTACATATGAGTGCAGTCCCTATTTCTCCCTGCTCCTTCATTGCTTCTGTACTTAGAGCTGTGCTTTGAGTAAACTCACCTTTCATGATACTTCTAGCGACAGAAAAAACAATGGTTAATTAGACGTAGCGTAGAACTATGCGTGGAGCTCTACGTACCAATCCAGTAGTTTTCCAACCTAGTGGTGACTACAAAATTCTGACAACCAATAAGTGAATACCTGAATCAAGTGAACTCGAAATCAGGCCAGCAAATTGCGTGGTATAACTGCGCACAGCCTGAGAAAAACGCGAGGTTTGAAACAAAGCCGAGTGGGGGCAAAGTAGGACGTGGTAGTGGTATATTCATTGAACCTAATGCAGCTGCCTAGCTCGCACATAATTTCTCATAACAACCACATTACGATAGGTCTCGAGGGCTCATAGGTTGGAGACCGGCTCCACTATTATACTGTGTACAATTGTCAGAGGACAACCTAGGGGAGTTATTACCACAAGGCCAAAAAGGCCATCATTACCCGCAGCTACCTGCGGACCCCTAGAATCCTGCTTACATAGACATGTATACATGGGAGCAGGTGGTATCTCACCCCTCAGATCACCCCTCAGATCACCCCTCAGGGTAGTAACCTATGACAACTTATCAGGATACCTCAGTGCGCAGAAGAAGAAGTAAATATTTAAAAAATAGAAATTATAGATTCTGAGAGATAAAAATTAAATAAATCTTATATCTAGTTAGTCTGGCTGCTCTGGTTAGTATTCTCTAGTAATATAATATATTTTAAAAAGATCTATTCAGGATGTTAACAGTACCCCTGAATTATTCTAAAGATAACTGAATAGATTGAATAAAGCAGTGAGTGCTAATCTTGGATACTCAGTAGCCACTAACATATATCTTCTGTTGTATATTTTTGTCTTTTTGCAATTCGTCTATTCGAGGCGGTCAGGATGCTGCTTGTCAAAAAGTTTTTGTATCCTCAACCTATTGTTGCAATGCAAGTCAGCCTAGCGCAACCCAGATGATCTCTTGATCACGTGAGCTAATACTGCCCCGATCTCTGACAAAGTCCAACTTCACAAGGAACGCCGCCGTCTGGCATTCAGACTGATCCCTCCCTAATATAAACCTCCCCCGGAGCATAATTGGTCCGAATAGGGCATGGTAGGACTGCTCAATTCGGCGATTCGCAGCTCTTTTTTCCCGCCTTTGAGATGAACCGACTAAGTATGTTTGTCCGACAGAAAGCTATACCTTATATGAATATGATCCAACTCTTGGGCGTCTAATCGCCAAATGTATTACTTCGTTAACGTGTGTTCTTCAGAGGAAGTTATTCGAGATTGATGGTGGTGGGCTGGACGCGTTACATACAGGCACATACCCTATTGATTGGATCGGTGGCTAAGTTAGGCAGCCACGCAGCAGGCATTTAAGATGCTAGTAGGCTTGATTCTTGTAATTCTTAGATCTTACTTTGCTTATCTGCTCGCCAACATGCTTAGCCTCGTGGTACCGAACGGCTGATTGGACGTCATTTGGCTGTCAGCTGACAGTCTAATATCTCCGCCCACTCATAATAGGTTACCCAATCGGTCCCTGACCAGGCCCCACAGCACATCTAACCAAGAATATGGCTTAGCCCTCGTGCAACTTATCCGTTGGGGGGATGGTTGGTTCCATGGAACGAAAGCTGACAGCCGATAACCAAAGCGGCTTCACGCATGGAACAGCACCATTTTGGAACTTCGTCACATGCCGATACGTCATGCATTAACCAACTGAGAATGGGAAACTTAGCTAGAACAATAGGGACTTACCATCTCGCCCGAGGGCCTTGTACTTGCAACATATGCTTCTATGGCACCTTACAACCCCTGGCGCTCTGAATGGACCACAAAGGTGACAACGAAGTGCATGATCGGGTATGTATGACGCTTCCATCTATTGTTATGGATAACATATGCTCATGGTTCTGCAAAGCCGCTTTCCGAGCGCGACAAGCGTATCCTCACTACCTACGGAAGATTGCCTTGTGGGGGCAGTCTCGGACAGCAGCCTAAGGTATTATAACACCATGATAACTCTTCATCATAGCTGAAAGTTATTAGAAACGGACCTATTTCGATTCAGGAGATTATGCCCTCTCCGCAGCTCACCGAGTGACCGACAACGGCGATATCCAAACCGGCACGGCTCACCCTGTCCGTGAGAGCATTTCGCACCCCTTCGCACCGGTACCAAGCACTGGCAATGCTGCTAGGGAGGCTAATGATGGTATTTTTGAGGACAAGAGTGCCATTACACAAGTTCCAAGGAGTCCTCTTTCCAGGAACCCGAGCTTCAGTGATCAGGATCTATAGGCCCCGAGGGCAGAAAAGCCTGAATTTGTAGGATATCTCACGATGGTTAAGGACTGGGTTGATGAGCTTCATTGCATACTATACGGGGGAACACACTGGTTCCTCTTGACGCGTTTGATATCCGGGTCAGTTCCTCCCCAGAATATCTGATATGTTACATTGATAGAGAATGTCTTTGGTTGGTTTATATCCTGTTTCCAGATTGAACTGTCCTTAGATATGTACGTGTCTCGAATTAATTCAACGCATCGGTTATGTGTCATACCATACACAGTTTCGATTACCGAGTCTCCTGGTAGGCTTGTCGACTTCCTCCTCGAAGACTAAAAGGTCAATCAGTGAGGATAGTATTACAGCCCATAAGCAACACACTGCAGATATTTGGTTCAACTCTCCAATCCCCCACTCCCGGGTCCTGTCAATCTTAGGGAAACCAGCAAAATCCCGCCATTATCCAGGCACTCACCAAGGTCATCGCAAATATCACAACTTTATGATCCATAGCACCAAAGTTTCAGACTCCCTCAAGTTTCCGGTACGCCCGCTCCGGCACACGCAGTGACGCAGACGCATACTGATCCAGAAAGACGTGTAAACTGGAACGGTCCGATTCAGATACACAACTGCTCGGTCGCTCTTGCTGACGATGTCTCGCACAACAATGCCAACACTGACGTAGGCCATCTTCAGTCGAAGACTTTAGCGAAGGTGCACAAGCGGCGGCGATAAGGGCTATCTCTTCGATTCTGCTCCATAACGTTGGCGCCACTAGCGAACGTAGCTGCTCTCCTTCGAGCACAATGACTCGTACATAGTAGAGCTTTACGCTAGCGGCAGCCGTAGCACAGAGGATCAGAGACAACAGAAATGCGATTATGAGCCTCTCTCGTAAAGGTCGATGTAGTCGCCAGATTATGGGTAATGGCATGATAACGAATATGACGTCGGTAAGGATGCCGATACCTGCCAGCCAGGGTGTCATATTAGCTTTATATTATGCTTTTTCTTTTTGAAAAATCATGGCATGTTAGATACTTACCAGTATATACAAAGCCATATATATGTAGTTGAGGCGGTGCCCAACATCTAGCATCAGGGATGACATCCCACATCGCACGCAAGGGTCTGCACTGGATAAAGAGACAGATTGTCGAAGCTAGCGCTGCTGCAAGCTGAACAGATACTGCACACCACAAAATATCCTGCCATATCTTAGCGCGGTGAAGTGATATAAGTATTATTGCTACTGAAACTCGTAACAGTGCTCCTGCCCATATACCCGTCATTTCGTAGGTGAAGACGAAGCGCAGGGCTTGGGCTCTGTTGCCTGGTGTAAGAAATTTGTCGTATCGACCAAGGCCATAGGAAGCTGCTGCGGCCATCATGGAGTATGCTACAATCTCCAAGGCCTATTTAGATCGTCAGAACTGCTTCTCGGTGCTTGAAATGAGGTAAAAGTACCACTGCTAGCGATAATATGAGATCCTCGGCTCTGATCTTATATACTCGACGAAAGCGCGTGTACATTCGAAGAACGTATAAGGCCAGCGCTACAAGCAGTAGAATACCGCATATAATCAGCGCCCTTGGAGCTGTAGTTGTATTGGCATTATGAGGAACTTCTGTATTCATCTGGCTATAAATCGTTCGCTGCTAGCATGGATTTTCACGCTCCGACGCGGTCGCAAAACAGGCAGTATTCTCATGGCCTCAAAATGTGATCTAAGAATTTCTAACAGCATCCCCGGGGGGGTTCTGTGATATTCGTTCGATCTTTTTCCCCATGTTTACCGTGAAGTTGTCTGCTTCGTTTTCCGCGGTTTAGATGGATCCCCGTTCGCGAGCCTAGTATCTGCAAGTGGTAGACAAGAATGGCTCTGTTAGCGAGGGTGACGCATAGAACCATTAGGTCCATGTTGAGTTATTTTCCGGCTCCCTTCAAGGCTAGGAGGGACCATTACCGTACAGTCTACTGTTCATCTTTTTTTGGGTGGATGTCAACGTCATTAACCTTAAAATATACTGTGACCAGTGGAAGTTACAGATGGAATATTTTTGACTTGTAACATACGTAAGTGGAATGTATATATTGATTGTGATGCCCTACCAAATTTCGCAACGATGGGTTCAAAGTGTTCGGTGGCAGCATATATATCTTCTCAACGGGAGTTGACATAGCACGAATAACATGTAGCAACCTTGTTAACCCCTTTAGAAAACCGGCATGATATGATGGAGAGAATCAGACCAATTTCTAGCTAATAGAAAATAAAGAGATTCAGTATCCCGTGCATGAAGTGATATGTTTTAGTATGCTCACAGAGAGCTCACAGTGAAGCTCACCATGCCGACCGGCCACTATCAGGGTAAACTTAAGAGCAGCTTCAGCCTGGAATATAATACACTTGTTAGCATATGATACTTCATCCAATCCTCGATGGTCTAACGGTCATGATTTCCGCTTGTCAATCCCTTTCGGGAACAAGCGCGGGAGACCTGGGTTCGACTCCCAGTCGGGGAGATTTCCTTTTTGTTTTTCATTCGATCGGCTACGTACATATCATCGGCCCACATTTTGAGGCTTTGACCAATTATTGGACTCCATTCCACCTGCTGCCCAATTATTTCGGATGGGGTGGCTGCAACAATAATCCTGAGTGCTAGTCCTGGATGCCACTGTCTTTCAAATTACACAATGCTATCCTGTCCGGACCATTGTCATGTCTATAGTACATTTCATATCCATTCCATCCAGCAACAACAAGATACAATTCTCCCGACACTTTGTCGGCCCTTTCGAATGATTTATTATGATATTGTGATCGTCTAAATTAGCGCCGACAAGAGCACTGCTCTCGGCATTTGTCTATTGAAAAGGATCCACACCCCGCTTTAGTATATCCTCAAACACAAAGGCTTGCTGAATACCGGTTGTTTCACCGATATAGCGCATGCGATCAATGATCCAATCTCTCTGACATTCCGAACTAGCCATCTGCCCGGCATATAGCAGAGGCCAGAATAGGAGGTAGATACCAGCGATAGCGGGGATACCATTGCCGCCTGTTTGTGTATCTGATAGACTGCCCGATATTACTGGCAGGTAACCACAGTATTGAGGAACGGAAGCACAGATGTCTGAAACGAGCTGTTGCATTATGATGACTGAGTGCTGATACTGGACAGCATCGAATAGAGATGTGCCCACATCTTCCATTTGTTGCTTGATTTCTTGATGCAGAAGCAACCGACATGTACGGATGTTGTTCCACACACCTGCGACCCATGCATCGGGATACTTGTGAAATTGCGTTCCCATGACCTGTTTAGATGTCTTCGCTGAATTCACGACCTGGAATTGCCAATCTACGGGCATTTTATCCGTGAGCGAGCAGAGGCTGCGGTCTATATCTTTGGCATATGCAATCATTTTCTCCGGATCGTAGAGTGTACGGCACTTAATGTGTGCACGGAAATAGGACAGCGATATCATGATATCAGACAATTTCCAGGCAGGATCATCAGTATCCATGTAAGCAGCAGTGTGGCGGTGAAGCTTTACCAATCCCATAGGTATTCGAAAAGAGCGCATCAAGCAGGTCACTGAAATACAAAGAAGGGTTTGTCGAAACATTTGAAGTCCGGGACGATATTGCACAAGTCCCACCCCTCGAATGTCCAATATCGACGCTACACCTTTTAAGTGAGTCTCTCTTTGATAGGGGAAGTCCCCACTCTCACAAGTCAGAGCCTCAAAGGTGTTTAGGAACAGAATCGAGATAATGGTAGCATTCTTTGCTGCTTCACGGCAGGACAATAAGGCTGCATTGATATGTCGAAGCGCTGCAACGTAATACTGTCTGGCTTTCTTGAGAAGAGCAACATGTTGAAACTTGGTAGCATAAGCTGCGAGCGCAACAGCACAGAGGCTCGCGACCACTCGTTGCTCATTCATGACATCATCGTTAAATGTGGATAGATACTCGAAATGGCCCCGGATGAGACCGATGTTATGGAAGGTGTGAGCCGACATGAAGAAACCGATTGCACGAGATTCCGTGGATTGGAATATGTTTCCGCCTAATATGTTCGCAGTTGGTGGGTCGAGATTCACTGGAATTTCAGGACTTTGTATCCTTGCCGTAATACATGAAAATGGCGAGAAAGTCTCTGCTTTTGGACCATTATTTATGTCTGGATTCCCTGGGTTGTGATGAAGAAACATCCGCTCTATAGAATCACCATACAGTGGACATTTCCAACCAGATTTTAGGCATTGGTTGCAATGCGGCCGCGCCCGGTCGCACTGTTGATTTCACTCAATAAGCATTGACGTAAACTTTAGTAGAATCTAATCATAAAATTTTGAATAGAAAGTGAGTGTGATGAGCAGTACCTTGATCTTTCTCTTTCTACAGACCTGGCAGCCTCTCGAGAATCTCCCGTGGCGGACCATTCCGATAGTATCGGCTGGTCCGATACCGGCCGTGGGTAAGTAAGATCGATGTCGTTCATGCAACGATATTCGGCAAGGCTACATCACATAGAAAATGCTGCACAAAGATGTAACCCATGATGTAGACAAATAACTGACTCATGCTCAAAACATTACTGAGAAGAACGACGAGGAAGAACAACTGGAAGGACAGATAGAGATTCCCATCACATGTTCTGTCAGCGCTAAGCCCTTTTGGAAGGTATTGCGAGAGAGCCAATCACAGTGCAGCTAGTGATATAACCTTCTCTGAGTCTTTTGTCTCGGACGATGGATGCTGGTCTTTTCCATAGAACATTTATCATTATTAGAAATTCAGAACGATTTAGCTCATCTATAGGGGATAAGGGTGCCAAATATAAATATGTGCTCCTGTCCCGAGTAGAGCAACAGTCTCCAGACACTCAAAATCATCATCTCATTGGCACTTCATAGAGTACAATTACTGTTGATAACCAGTCCCACAAATCTACAACTCTTTTACTTCTTTCCTGCTATCTCAATTTACAGGACCTCTGCTTCTCAATATGTCTGAAGACAAGAAGCTCCTCGTCGTGTTTGGCGCCACGGGAATTCAAGGTGGCTCAGTTGCTCGAGCAATCCTGGCCGATCCTATGGCGTCAAAGCAATTCAACATCCGGGCAATTACCAGAGACCCTTCCAAGCAGGCTGCCAAAACTCTAGCTCAGCAGGGTGCGGAGGTAATGAAGGTAGGTCACACCCACCGATTCGACTGGACTTGCGGTGCAAGGTCATTGATAAAGACGACAATAGGCCGACCTGGAAGACAAAGACTCTCTTCGCTTAGCTCTCAAAAATGCTTATGCTGTCTTTGCCGTCACAAACTTCTGGGAGACTTTTGATGCTGCCACTGAGACTAGACAAGGCATGAACGTGGCTGATATTGCTAAGGTAGGACATATTAATACATTGTGGAGATATGCTAACACCAACACAGGAACTGGATGTCAAGCATCTTATCTGGAGCAGCTTACCTGGCATCTCGCGGAGTATGTCACTTTCTTCTCTTCACCCATTGTGTCGTTTTCGTATTGTTGTGATGTGTGGCTAATGAAGGATAGTCACCAATGATAAACTCACTGGCGTGGTGCATTTCGACAGCAAAGCTCGTGTTGATGACTACATCCGCCACCTCTCGATCCCGCACACCGTTGTCACCCTTGCCATCTATGCTACGTTTTTCTTTGAGATACTGACACCTCTTCCGACAACACCTCCTTCATACGTGCTAGCGTTCCCTAAACCAACAAGCGCCCAGACCAACGTGCCCATTATTGACCCTACTGCTGACCTGGGTAAGTTTATCAAGGGTATTCTTCTGAACCCTGGCAAGACGCTCGGTCAGAGCTTCAATGTCGCCGGAAGAGCATATACTTTCGAAGAAATTGTCGGGGTCGCAAAGGATATGGGGGTAAATATAAGCTTCCAGCCGGTGGATAAGGTGACCTTCAAGGCCGGAATGGCCGCCAAGGGATTTACCGACGTTGTTTGTGAGGGTGTATCTCAGGCCGCTCAGTATATCCAGGAGTATGGATACTTCGGCGGGGCCGGATTCGAGGAAAGCCACAAGGCGAGTCAATAATGAGATTTGCTAATGCTTGCTCGTACTTATGAACCATACTAACTGCCGTTACACACTGTAATAGGTTTTGTTGGAACCCTTGACTACACTGGAAGATGCTCTGAGAAACAGCGCGGTTTTGTCGCAGTTGAAGAATCAAAAGTGAGTAGTCGTTAATCAAGGAACTCAGGTTTTCTTGGGGAACAGAAGCTATTAACTTTAATTTCTGGATTGGAGTCCGATTATTTGGGCATCTGCGCCACAGTTTGGTAACAGCACATTGAGTTCTTTGACTAGCTATATCGAATATTGCAAACATTAAATATTGATTACGGATCTGCAAAATATTATCCAATCCGCATTCCGCAGTCAGGATGATATAGTTCATAGTTCCGGAGTATCAGGAAAGATTGGCATACTAGACGCAGTTAGTCAAGGTTACCAGCCAGCAGCCTTTCAATCACCAAGAAACTTACATTTCAGGATAACGATCCCCCACAAAGTTGGCCTTCTGCACCAGATCCCTAATCTCAGCAACCTCTTCGTCACTCAATCTCACATCGACCGCTGCAGCGTTCTCTTCTAGGTACTTAACACTCCGGGTACCTGGAATGGGAATAACCTCCGGACCTTGAGCAAGCAGCCACGCCAGCGCAACCTGCGACGGCGTAAACCCATGTGCCTCTCCAATCTCCTTGAACCTCTCCACTATACTCAGAATTCTGTCCATGCCTTCAGAATACCTTGGGATCATGCATCGAAAGTCCTGCTCTCCAAGGTCACTCCTCGACTTGAACTGGCCCGTCAATAACCCCCGACCCATGGGGCTATACGCCACCACAGCAATGCCCAGCTCGCGACATGTACGAAGCACGTCAGACTGGGGAGACTCGATGTCCAAGCAGAATGGACTGTACTCGATCTGTAGTGCTGAAATGGGATGAACAGCATGTGCACGACGCAGAGTAGCAGCGGAGACTTCGGAAAGACCTAGATAGCGAATCTTCCCTTCTCTGTATCCGACATCTCATGTAAACAACGTATCATAGCACATTTAATGTTATAGCTCACCTCTTCAACAGAACCATAGCCTCCACGGTCTTCTCAATAGGAGTCACTCCGTCCACCCGATGACAATAATACAAGTCAATAGTCTCAACACCCAACTTCTCCAGGCTCCTCTCACATGCCATTCGGATATACTCCGGGTCAGATCGAATACTTTGACGCATGCTGGCATCATAGCTAAGACCAAACTTTGTTGCTAAAAAGATGTCTCCACGCTTGCCAGACCGCTTGAACCACTCCCCGATAATGGCTTCGCTGTCGAAGTAGATGTCAGCCGTGTCCCAGAATCGCTGTCCAATGGAGTGAGCGTGGTCTAGGAAGGCAAGCTTCTCTTCCCGGGTGTTTTGTTGGCCGTAGGCACCGGCAATGCTCATGGTACCGAGGCCGACGGCGTTGACCAGGGGGCCATTGTGGCCTAGGTTGCGGAGGGTGGACATCGTTGCGCTGGTTGGTTGATGTAAAAGTAGACTTACTACTAGTAGTAAAATTGGATATAGGCAATTTAAAGGATAAACGAGGGGTAGTAAACGGGATGAAAACAAGAAGAGACGAGGGGGGATGTAAAGCAGATATTTATACGTCGTTTATGGGGGACGCAGAATTCAGCAGCGACTGGATCTCTCGTTTTCCTCCAAGCATCTGTCCCTATTGTAGACCTAGATCCAGGATTTCTGAGGCATAACTCAAGCACAGATGGGGCAATGGTTGGTCAGCCAATCACGAGTGTGGAAATGCGAACCGACCAATAGGAATCGCCGAAGAACGAAGATGGCCAATCCGGCATCATGTTGAATTAGTTATCTAGGATGGAAGCTTTGGAGGCACAGTACTACGGGCAGACAAATCAAATTGCAAGAATTGACACCTAGGTACTCAAAAATTACCTAAGCCAATATGCACACCAAAGTCTCGAGCGGATAACGTGTACAGTAGCCACATCTATTCCTAAGAAATGCCTCGGAGTTTGAAGGCCGTAAGACCGACTCTATCCGCCGACTGATAAGTGATAAGACATGATATCTCTATTTACGACAGATAATCTGCGCACTGGGAATGGATATCCAAGCATCCTCATCCTCCCCCCACTGACGCCAAACATTAGATATACTCTCGAGCTCCTCCAACGTCGCGAATCCATTATCTAGGGCTCCCTTAGCAAAGGCCGACTTCAACGCACGTTCTTGCCATGTTCCACTCCACCACTGAACCTCTTCCGGCTTCGTAAAGCACCACGCGCTCACAGTACAATCGACCTTCGACTTCTCAAATCCAGCCTGACGTGCCCAGACATGCAAGTACCGACCTGCATTGGGCTCGCCTCCATTCTTTCGAGCCACCCGATCATACAGGTCCAGCCAGCGTCGCAGTCCAGGGAGTTCTGGGTACCACCCGAAGACCGAGTAATCTGACTCGCGCGCGGCGACAATACCACCAGTCTTGCAGACACGGCGCATCTCCTTCAAAACGTTCACGGGATCTCCCACGTGCTGTAGAACTTGGTGGCAGACAACCACATCGAATGATTCATCGGCGTAAGCCAGGTTGTTGGCGTCACCCGTGACGAACTCGATGTTGTTGATTCCTCGCGATTCGGCGAGCTGTCGGGCGCCTGGTAAGACATCGTCGACCATTTCCAAGCCCGTAACGTGGCCGTTCGTGACATAAGTAGCCAAGTCCACAGTGATGGTGCCTGGACCACAGCCGATGTCTAGGATCTTCATGTGGGGTTGGAGGTGCGGCAGGAGGTATTGAGCGGAATTGAGGGCAGTCCGTTGTCCGTGGGACCGGAGCACGGAGGCATGATGGCCGTGAGTGTATGTTGCTGTCTCAGACATTTTGCTCTTTTTTTCCCTGAAGTACTATGAATGAAGATTTGTTGATGAGAAATGGAGTGGCATGTATTCGTCGCTTCCTTTATAGCTGCTGTGGATGGCTAGCCACGGGCCGATATCGGCGGAGCTGTCGCTCGCTGACTTGGGGTCAACGCGATCGGCATGATTGCATTTCGGAAAAGGATACTCCAGCCAATATATGAATCAAGTAAGATGCAGGGGATGGTAAAGTCTAGGCGGAGAATCACTCTTATTGCATGATCGCGGTATTTTTTTGATCATTGCTGCGGGCGGACATCGCAGCTCCCGCACAACCTTCTCCGGTCATTGGTGACCGACCCACTTGGGTCATGGTTTATGCTTGAGCTTGAATATGCTTCTAGTTCCGAGCCACTTATGTTTGCTGCTTACATGAAGCCCTGACCGGATTATTGAGAGACTAGGCCTATCACAGTACTGTGATTATAGTCACAGCCTGTTCTGGACAGGTGCCATCACCATCTTAGCTCGCAGCGATACCGGAGATGCTATGGAAATTGAACCCTACATGTTGATTATCCGGCGACAGTGCCACCTATTGGGACCCATATCTTTCTCAAATGATGTTTCTGAGACCTTCGGTTTTTGATTTTTCTGTGCTTTGATTTATTTACTACCTTGAGGCTGACACTCTGGCTTTTGCCACTTCCTGACGCTAAAAGCTTTCGTCGGCTATTATATCCAAACCTGCTTCTGCAGTTCCACATATCATATTAGCAACTGGAACTCTTCCGCTAGCCCAGTCCAAGGCCAGGTACCCGCCAATAGTACCTCGTATGTCTCTATCATGATTGTGGCTATAAAAGAACGGGTGCCTACTAAGGAAGATGACACTCGAGGCTGTTGCCGTTCATTCCTTTCAGTCATTCTTTCGCACCGCAAGACGTTCTATTCTCCCCAAAAACACACCATTACTTTCTTTTATCAGTTCGGCCATTGGAATCATGGGGAGAATTATAGCAAGATTTCTGACTGTTCTGCTACCCCTGACTCAATTGACTGCGGCTCTGACCGTCCAGCCAGAAGCAGCAGCCAGGGTCTCAGTTGAGATTTTGACATCTACCTACACCCACACAGTGACCAGCACAATTACCGGTATTTCAACTCTAACCACAACCACTACCACCTGTGCTACCCAGTCATATGCGGACCCATTCTGTACCTTGGATGGTGCTTGGTCTCTCGCGGGCAACTGGTTCCAACAATGGTGTTCGGGCGTATCTCTGGAGGGAGGGACGACTGTCACCTCGGCATATTACGCATCGCTATATGAATGCGAGGTGATATGCTATCAATCAAGTACTGAGTGTAATGGCGTCAATTACAATACGGCAATCCGTGCTTGCTACCTCCTAACTGGCTCACTTACTGCTACTTCTGCTGCCTCTTACAGGGCGGCGATGCGCTTCACCACCAATCCTTGCATGCTTACCGAGACTTCTATATCGACGGGCCTTTCGACGCAAACATCCACCATCGTGTCTGTGGTGACATACACGTCAACAATTACTATACCGGATACATCATCTACTCAGACTGGCTCTGTGTCAGTTGTGCCAACTTCCACATCTCCAGTCGCAGTATCCAGTGCTATCCCCGCAATTTCCAGTACTCGGGTCACCTCCTTGGGAACCACTACTCCCTCGTCGACGTCCACATCAATACCAGTGATACAGTCCTCGTCGGCTTCTGTATCTGCATCTATCGTTGACACTTCATCATTCACGACCTCGGAAAAGCCATCCATGCCGAACCAGCCATCCGCTGCCGCAAGTTCCTCCATCGCTATGCAGCTCAGCAACTCACATTCGCCTTCATACAGCGATGCTCTTACATTTGCTCCGAGTTCAAGATTTGCGAAGTCTACTGCTCCGCGTCCTACAATCACATCAAGTTCGGCTTCATCTCTACATCCAAGCTCTTCGGTACCGATGCAATCATCAAGCCAATACACGGCATCCTCCGCCTCTGTCCACGCATCGTCGAGCCTGGAGTTAACCAAACTTCCTCAGGCATCTACATCGGTACCAATTATGCTTTCATTTGCGAACGAAAGTACCGTTCTACCGAGCCATTCAACGTCTCCGCAGCCCGCCACCTATATCAACAGCGGTAGTTCTTCCGAGTCTGCTTCCTCACCTGGAGGACTCTCTACCACTTCCACAATCCTTACCACCCAAGTCCGCACTGTGACTTCCTGTCCAGGTTCAGTGACCGACTGTCCTATCACGGATAAAACTACATTCCTTACTACTGACCATCACGGTGGGCACGACAATTCGTCCCGTGACTGCTGCGATGGCCTCTCCGACGAGCTTGCAGTCTGCAGATGATGTGTATACTGAGGTTTCGACGGTGTATGTTACGAACATCATGACAATCAGTGCTTGTGTAGGTGATGGATATTGATTGTTTACTTCGCTTCGATATAAAGTATTACTCGAATATTTCGGGGTGTTGCCAATTTTACGTCATACTGTCTCCAGGCTAGTTCATGGCAACCCTGTTCATAAGTTATTGATGTGATTTATAGTATCATCATCGTGCCATTCTTAATATATCCTAATCAAAAATTCATTCCTATGATAGATACTTCATTGACTTTGTCCTTGCTCTCCTCACCATCCCCCCAGTTCAATCCATCAACCCCGAAATCACCGGTGCTGCTTCTGCTCCTCCTTCTGCCAAACCTTAAAGTACGTACTCAGCAGCTCCGGCATAGAAGGCAACTCCGGCATATCCGAAGACGCAAGCAAAACACGCCGACTATTCGCATTCTCATACACAGTCTTCGTCATCGTCTCCGCCTCCCAGTACACCAACAATTGCCGAACTTTATCCTGCAAGAACGCCGACGCGACTTTGAAATGATGTTCTCCATGCGTTGCCACAATATCAGCCCACTCCAAAGCCGATACCCGTTTCAACGGGGGGGACGTATAATGTGCCACCATGTCTAGAACCTCATCCCACGTCAAGGTATGAGTTTGATCAGGTAGGACAAGGTTATAGGCATGGCTGTGGTGACTGCTAAGCGCAATTTCCAGGATCGCTGAGCTTGCGTAGTCGACTGGGATCATCTGGCAGCGGGCCGCTGGGGGGGACGGGTAGCATCCAACGCGGATGGAGCTGACCATCAGATGTTGGAAACCGTCCCCGGGGTTGGCAACTCCCGTTTTGCTGTGGCCGGAAATGACGGGTAGGCGATGGATGGTTACTGGCATGCCGTTTGCGATGGCATCCCAGGCGATGCTTTCGGCCACGATCTTGGTCTCACTGTAACCGACGAGCTTTCTTTCGGAGTCCGTAGTGTTGAGGGCTGGTCTTTCATTCTCGCCGATAAGCTCTCTGCCCTCGAGATATGCAGATGTTCCACAGGCTGATATGCTGGAGGTATAATGCACGGGCTTGAGGCGCTTCGTATTGGCGAACCGAAGAATATTCGAAAACCCATGGATATTGGCGCCACGGAGCTCCGAGTATGAAGGCATGTAGTTGCATTGGGCGGCAAGGTGGAAAATAACACTGGTCCATTGAGCGAAATGTTCGTACTTCTCCTGCCCGAGTCCCAGTGTCGAGTCGGTGAGATCGCCAGGTACCACGATGACTTTAGATTCAGAGTCCAATGACAGTCCGTAGTGCTCCATGTTCTCTTTGATACGTGCCAAGCCTGCTGCGGCATCTGGCGCTCGCACCAAGCATGCAATCTCCTTCACTCGCGGGTGCCTAGTTAGAGTAGAGAGAAAGAAGGCACCCAGAAATCCGGTGCATCCGGTCACAAATACCCGTCCTTCAGACTCGGAATGCCAATACGGGACGTGCTCTGATATCGGCTCCAGAGATTTGGCCAACTCCAAGTCTGCCCGATAGAGCACGCTCTCATCAACATCATCTTTGCCGTTACCAACAAGAGACCCCTTCGCGTTCTCAAGCTCCCCGGACTTGTGCTTCTCACGGAGGACCTGCATGGTAATAGCGCCGAGTCCTTTGACGTTCTGTGCCTTTGATATCTGAGCGAGTGATACCTCAACGCCAACATTTCGTCGGAACCAGCTGCGTATCTCAATGGTCATCAATGAGTCAATTGCAATCTCGCAGAGCTCCTCATACGGCATGTCATCGGGATAGGACATGTTCGAGGCAACCATTCGACCGATCTCGAGCGTAATCTTGGTCTCTGTAGCTGGATCATAGAGAAGGGAGGGATTGCGCTTGATCGCGTTTACGAACGTTTTGAGCTCGTTATCTTGGCTTGCGCTCCCGCCGTCCGAAGCAGTCAGCATGTTATGCCACGCCAGGAAACGAGCATCCTGCCCAACTGTAACACCATTCTCCATCTCAGACACCGGCTTTGTTGTTCCCATCCCTAAGGCCAGTTGGGGTGCACTCCCCATGATCTGTATTTCCAGGGCCTTGAGAAGATCGTGCTCTTCCAGTATTTCCCAAGAGCTCATTTCTACCATTTCCCTAGCTCTATGAGACGTTTCAGCGATAACACCGATATCTCCCATGAAACCAATGTCGAGTACGCTAGCTGGTAGCCCCTTTGAGTGACGATAAGTGACAAAAGCGTCCAAGAAGGTATTAGCAGCCGCGTAGTTGGCTTGGCCGATATGCCCGGCAGTACCAGAGACAGAGCTGAGCAGGACGAAGAAATCCAGAGAGCAATCCTGCGTCGCCTGATGAACATTCCGCGTGCCTTGGACCTTAGGAGCAAGTGCCTCGATCCACTCCTCGTATGCCATGTTATCCAAGGTTTGATCCTGTTTGACATAGTAATTAGTAAGTATTCTTCGACAACAAGAACATGTTGATTGCCAAATGAGAGTGTATACAGGGGAAACGGGAAACTCACTCGTAGCACCATGGACAACTGCATGATTCCTGCTATAGGTCGTACCGCGGCGGACACTGCCCGTTCGACATCGCTGATACTGGTCACATCACCTGTCACTACCTGAATGTGACAATTTCCCTGAGATTCCATATCCTGGACAAATTCTCGAGCCTTTATTGGCTCCAAGCCAGACCGGGACATGAATAGCAAATGCTGGGCTCCTTTCTCCACCATCCATCTTGCCACTGCACGCCCGAGACCGCCGAGGCCACCAACCAACAAGTACGAAGCATCACCGCGGAACAGGGCCCCTCGAGCCTGCAATTTAGACACCCGTAAATCGGCTGGATTTTCGGGCATTTCCACCAAAATTTTGCCCATGTGCTTACCAGTCTGCATGTGTCTAAATGCTTTGGCAATATCGGACGCCTTGAAAACAGTAACAGGCCGGATAGGACGGAGCTTCCCTTGCTCTATCGAGTGAGCAAACTGCTGCACTAAGCTTCGAATAACCTCAGGGTTCTGCTCGCCAATTTGAAGAAGATCCACACCAATGAAGGTACGGTTTCCCATGAAGAGGTCCATATCCAGCTTACCATGACCGAGGAAGTCACGCTTACCCAATTCAATCATTTTGCCCATGGGGGCAACACACTTCCAGGAGGCATGCAATAGTTCGCCGGAAAGGGAATTGAGAACGAGGTCCACGCCTCTATTACTGGTCGCCTTCATCACATCCTTGTGGAAGCTAACGCTCCTCGAATCAAATATACGATCCTCAGTAAGGTTGAACTCTTCCATAAGATGTTCTCTCTTTTCTTTGCTTCCGACCGTGGCGAATATCTCGGCTCCAATTGCCTGGCATATCTGAATTGCGGCCAGACCCACGCCGCCGCACGCGCTGTGGATGAGAACTGTCTGCCCCTTTTGTAGATTTCCGCACTTCACCAAAGAGTAGAGAGCGGTGGAGAATACGCAGGGACCTGCTGCTGCATCTTCGAGAGACAATCCTTCAGGGAGCACAAGACAAGTATTCGCAGGCACTATTTTCCTTGTGCCCATTAAGCCCGTTCCGAAAACTGACACCTTATCTCCTACTTGGATATTCTGTACCCCTGATCCCACATTGCGGACAATACCGGCCGCTTCAAGTCCGATCTCGGAAGTTTCTCCCATCAATCCCATCGATATCATGATGTCCTAAACAAGCAATATTTAGCATCTAAACACTGAAGGCGATTGGCAATGGCTTACTCTGAAATTGAGCCCCACAAATCGGATATCCACTTCGATGTCGTGTTCCCCAAGGTGTCCCACACGCCCATCCAGGGCCCAAGTCAAAGAATCAAAGATACCAAAGCACCCAATATCTAAAGATCTCTGCTCGAAGCTATCATCGGCAGCCATCATTTGGTGGAGGAATTGGAAGTGAAATCGACCGACATGAACTGCTCCGTCTTTAAGGGCAAACTCGTAGTCCTCATTAATCGGGTTCTTGCCTGATTGTCGACAGATTCGTTCGTATACAAGGGCGACCTTATCTGCTGCACCAAATTCTTTCTGGTCGAGTTCAAAGGTTGCAAAATTTGTGGAGAGCTCTTTCCGTACTGTTCGCATCAACCCCAGCGTTAGGCCAAATCGAGGGTCTGAATCTCTAGCGCCGAGTTGCACGGGCGGCATCAGCCAGAGGCAGTGGCCTTTAACACCAGAAAGAAAGCGTTGAAAAGCACAGAATTCATCCTCTGAAAGACTGTCCAAGAAGGGGCTATCTAGGTCAAGGAATGATATAACGTTCGTTATCGAAGAAGACATGTCGTTCAGGGTCAACCAAGTGACCTTTACACCTTGGTGAGTGAAAGCCTTTGCAAGTGTGTATGCCAATTTAGGGGCCTTGCCCCTATGAAGGAAACCAATCTCTTTACCGAGAGATGCCCTGGCTTCAGGTCGCCGTGATAGCATGTAAGCGTTAGTCTCGTATGGCGGTTCGTTGTCGTACCGGACTATGTCCGCACCAGTGAATCCCGCATCCAGGAGTTCTTGATGCCATCGTGAGACGGGAACCACTGGGGTTTCCCTTAAATCTTCTGCATTCCACCAGCCTGGGAGGGTACCCATAATGAAATTAATCATGGGGAGTCCGGGGCAGAGCTCTGTGAGGAAAAGCCACCCCCCTGGAGCCAGAAGTTTATTCAGGTTGCGAAGCGAGGTCGATATTCTTGGGGTAGCATGGACGACATTTGAAGCGATGATCAAGTCATAGCCCTCCACAGCAAAGCCTTGGTCCTCAGGGTCCTTGGATATGTCGAACGTTTCGTATATCATCCCAGGGAAGTTCCTAAAGTGCTCTTTTGCTTTCGCAAAAAATCCCGCCGAAATATCAGTAAATGTATAGCTGGAATACAAAGGACCCTCGTGCTTTGTTGCATCATAAAGGGCATCGAGTACTGCCGAGGTGGCGCCGCCTGTTCCTGCACCAACCTCCAGGACTCTGAGTGTTGGACGGGAATGGCTGAGCAGTGACAGGAATTTCTCCGCCGGAAATAGACGAGAGGACTCCTGATACATACTACTG